AGAAACACACGCAGATAATGGTGGTGTTATTTTTCTTCTGTGAAACCTCTGTGTACAAGATCCTCTTCTACATAAAATTAAAACATTTGGCCTGTGAAAGAGAAGGGCTACCTGTGTGGCTGATCCAACCCTTGGATCAGAGTAGGATTGCCGATCCAAGAGAGGCAGCAGAAAATCAGATTTCACAGCTCTCACTTTGACACCATATGCTGTGCTGGCAGAAATAGTGGAACTGATTACTATGTCTTTTCAGTTGTTCATATCTTCAATCATACATACATGGCGCCTGCAGTTAATGCATTTATTTTGCCCCATGGCATCATTTGGGATGGGAGTGGGGAGGCCAGTAAAACATGAAGGTGAGAAACTTGAGAACATAAATATTGAACACAAATGCTTCACCATCCATTGGAGTATCTGGATTTGAAGATCTAAAAGTAAACATAGGTCAGCTTATATATGCACGTAGAATTGTTGAATACTCACAATTCTATCAAACATTGTAATGGAGAAGTATAAGGTAAGGGCACTAGCAAGAACTAGAGATACATCTGTAGAGATACATGGGATGGGACTTCAACTCAGCCTTCCAATCTTCCAGAGACCACAGAATAGTACGGGGGAATGTTTTTGGTCAATTTGTGTAGCACTTTAATACAAGAGAGATGCCTCTGGAAATGAACTGCTCCTATTACCTACCCTTAAATATTTTTCAACATGAAAACTGAAAATAAAAATATGGGGCTCTTCAGGGAAGGCTTTAAGAGTGTATATAGAAGCAACTTCCCTCTTAGAGCAACGATAACAACAAAATGGGCAAAACAAAAACCGGGACAAGAGCTATTGTCTTCTGAGCTTTTGGACTCATGCTGGAGCCCATCTTCAGTTCCCTATATGAGTCCAAAAGCTCTGAATACAAAGCTGTCAGTGTCCGACCCAGATCGGATCCTACAACATTATTCTGGGACATATAAATTCACCTTCATTCGTGAAAAACGATTCTGTGCTATGTGATCTGTGAGGATTATCTTGAAAACTTTTCTGGGTGATATCAATAGCTGAGAAACAACATCTGCAAAGTATTTTGTGGAGTTATGGAAGAAAATAAACAAGAAAAGGCCATTTTATATTGTCCTGTGGTTTAGAGATTGGCAAGGAAGATAATGGAAAGATAGGTACAGTGGTCCAGAAAGGCTTAAGCAAGAAACAGTTTAGGCAGGACAGGCAACCTACAAATCCTGGGTGCCATGCTGATCTGAACTCTCATTTGATGTCCTCCCCAATGGAGACCCTTATGGCTGTATCACAAAGTGCCGAGTGATATCCCTAAATTATAATCTGAAAATGATTCAACACAGGCAAAAATGACAAAAATGAATCTAGACAAGGTGATAATATGTGTAATCAATACTGTGTATATCAAAATCAAGGTGATAATATGTGGAGCCATTTAGCAAATATGAAGCTTTAATATAAAAGCCTCACAACAAAAGACCTTCTACAACTCAACCATATGTTAATATATATATATATTAAAAAAACACAATGCAAAATCTACACACCTAACTCAACGAGTGAGAACATAAATTACAAGTGGTCTGGGAAAATGCAAACAAGCAACAAAATATATTGGTACATAAAGAAAATTATAATACCTCCGTGTATTTCGCTGTGCCCTCAAGACCCTGTTGTTCCGCCAGGCCGGGCTATCAATGTAATGATTTTAAATTGGGTGTTTTAAATTTTTGGGGTTTTAAATCTGAGCCGAAATTATTTAATAATTTTAATTATTTTTAATTGATGTCTGTCTTTGTGCTTTTAATAGGCTGTACACCACCCTGAGTCCTTCGGGAGAAGGGCGGTATAGAAATAAAATTATTTATTTATTTATAATTATAAGATGTATAAAATATAATTGTAAAGTGGCACTCTGATTATGATTCTTTTACAAGAAATGCATATGCTTGCGATGCCGTATTTAAAAATCACGAGTTGTCTCAGACTCTGACAATAATTCAGTTTTTTGCCTCTTTTTGTTTAAGCAACAGTGTGTTGCAATGTGTTGCAAAATTAGGATCCAGATGCCCAGTTTAACAATTAGTAGCAATATTCAAAGAGTCGGGATCTATTTTCATGTTTTTAACTGGAGAAATAACTGAAAACAGCATCTTGAAAATTTGTATGAGTCAAGCAATTAGATAAGAACGCATTCTGCTTGGAAACTAGAAATGTTTCCAAGTCAGTCATGTTGCTGCTGTTTGATGATGACTGTATTAGGTTTGGTTACAAAAATTAGCATTATATATTGTAAGATGTCAACATTGCAAAACTTCAATTTAACTAGTGCATCAGAAAACTCAACCACAGACTCGGTTGAATTGTAGCTATTTTGCAATGAATTCTCTACCCAATGGGTGAGACCACAAATCAGTATTTTGAAAAGCTTTGCTAGAATGGTTGACTAATGAGTAAGAACATTTTGACTCATAGTTTTGGCAATGGACATGAGTCCCTGCATTTAAAATAACATTTTTTTGCCCTTAGTGTAAAAAATGTACAAATTCTAGGATAGAAACAAGAACCTGGAAATTGAATTAACAAACATAGCGATGCTTTCCATTTTTGATGACCATCATCTTGGTTTGCATGGTATTTCAAATAGCCATGGATAATCTACAAACAATATTTGAAGAAAATTATTGCTCTGATGTTTGTTCGTTTGGTTTTTATGACCCTTGTGGTCATGTTCAATCAGAAAATCTCTTCGTGGAAATATTGACTGTTTGGCTGAATTTTATAAAATGGGATAGCATCTTCTCACAGTTATGGTTCCATGCTTTTCAGAAAATGTGAGATTGTTCACACTTTACCGTGGTTGAAGTTGTCTGTCAAAAGGGACTCTTAAAATAGCACTGCCATATTTCTAAGGCATAATTCCCCTCTATTCTTACTCCAGGTTTATGAGTGATTCAAATCATACAGTCGCTACCAATGAGAACAAGATGTGACATATATTTGGGTCAAGGTATTTAAATGCATCCCGCTTCAGATTAAGACTGAATTTACAACTTGATGCCATCCAGTTTTACTTGCAAGGTTGACCCTGTGAGAGTTTTGGGATAGTTTCCAAGTTAATGTGATCATCGCAAAAGAAGAATTTAACAGAAAATAACTGAAACAAACGTTTGCTGCTTTTCTTTTTCTTACTCCGTTTTTCACTTAAAAAAAAAACCCTTAATGCTAGAATAAGTTGCATGCACAGTGTTCAGGGTGCAATCACAATACATGACAAAGCAGCAAAATTCCTGACTATGTCAATCATTGTAATACAATATATATTCATCTTATTCCACTAGGAAAAAGAGTTTGAAATCAGATGGCTAATGCACCTAGGTAGAAAACATCCAATACAGAAAGAAAACCACTGTTGATTAACTGGCGATTGAGTGATATACCAACAACAGTATGAAACTTGAGGCAGAGTTTCCTAACCTAATTGGTGTATTTTGGGGGGCTGCCAAAGGAACACTTTGTCTGGCACAGCACATTCCAGCCACTAGTCACTCTCGTGTCATTTCTTAAAATTTAAAGTCCCCAGGAACAGATTCACTTTGCTTTAGAGTCCTGACAGTCTGAAGATGCAGCAAAGTATGTGACAGAAACAAAACTGAATTAAGGAGGTGGTGTTTAGCATCTCCCAAAGCTCCACAACCTGGCATTTTGCCAATGCAAGGTCTGAGCCATTTATTTATTTATTATCTGAAAAAGTTTCTCCACAAGATTGCGTTATATACCGCCATCTTAAATATTTGGTACTTGGAAGTCAAGGGTAAACCATATGTCATGAATAATACACGAGAGTCACTTTCTGTGGTTTTCAAGGATGCTAAGAAAAGTTAGTTTGGAAACAGCTGGGAAACAAAGGGAAGTCAAGGAAATGTTGAACTTTCTTTTCAAAAGTTTTTCTCTTTTACTTTAGAAAATCCCCGATATATCTAGACAGTGTCATCCTGTGACTTCTTGCAAAGAATGATCCCACAATCATTCTTTGAAATAAAATGCAGGCAGGCAAACTGTTGCTGCACCACCATGACTAACATGGAACTTGTTTTAAATAAAAAGAAAAGAAAAGAAAAGAAAAATCCCATCTCTAAAACTTAAGATATCTCTTTGCATCACCATTTTTTCTTTACTTCCAAGATTCTTTTACTCCTTATGAAAAAAACAGGATATACCAGGCCTCTTTTCCAGAGCAGAGAAAATCTCCCATCTGGAAGAGTGAGATTCTAGATCCATAGTAGGATCTTTTGTCTTTTGAACCCACAAAGGAAAGGGTTCTCTGCTTTGATAAAACTTAAAGTTAATCACCTACTGAAAGCAAAATTGTGAAGTAAAGCATTTTTTGTGCTTTGAAACAATGAGTCAAGGTGAGCACCATGCTGCTTAGAGAAGATAATGTTTTCTTCATATGCACAAAAGGTCAATGCTATGGGATGATGTGATGTGAGGCTCAATTTTCTTATAGAAGCCACCTCATGGCAACCTTGTGCTATTCTGTAAGCAGGTACTATTCTCGCAAGACTGTAGGAGGCTCTGTTTTTAAGGAGGTTTCATTTGTGGAGCTTTCTTAAAAAGTGGACCTCACCCCCCTCAGAGACTCGCAAGAATAGTAACCTGCTTGCAGAATAGCACAAGGTTGCCATGAGGCAGCCTCTGAGAAAAAAAAAAAAGCTGAGCTTTGCATCTATAGGTCAGGTCCCTCTGCAAAAATAAAAAGATAAATTGAGTGCTGCTTGATCATGGAACTGGCTGAGGAACAGGCCGAGTCCTGCAAGTCCCTTAGGTGGCTAGATGGGAAGGCCTACAACAGGCCCCCTGCACACTGGTAGCTTCTGCTCCCTGGATGTAGGCTCCATTGGGAGCAGGCTGAGGCCTTCAGGGATCCCGAGAGGCAAGGAGCAGAACACGGGTTGCCTCAGGAGGTGGCAGAGGTCTTGGGAAGCTTTAAATAGTTCTCCAGTCCTCCTTTCTAGACTGTTAAGACACCAACTAGTGTATGTTGACATGAATAATTTTTTGTGCATATGAGGAAGACATTCTTTTCAATTGCACAATAATAGGTTGACATTACCTCGGAGGCATGGCTGCTAGCTGACTGAGTTCGGCCTTGTTTTGATTTTGTTGAGATGACACTAGAGGTGGTATTCAGCAGGTTCTGACCAGTTCTAGAGAACCGGTAGTGGAAATTTTGAGTAGTTCGGAAAACCGGTAAATACCACCTCTGACTGGCCCTGCCCCCATCTATTTTCTGCCTCCAGAGTCCCAGCTGATTGGGAGGAAATGGGGATTTTGCAGTAACCTTCCCCTGGAGTGGGGTGGGAATGGAGATTTTACAATATTTTACCCTGCCACGCCCACCAAGCCATGCCTACCAAGCCATGTCACGCCCACCAAGCCACACCCACAGAATTGGTAGTAAAAAAATTTGAATCCTACCACTGGGTGACACCTGTTGTTTTACTGCCCAACACATTAAGGCAGAAGTCCCTCATTTTGTACACCCCAAAATATTACCGGTTTCTGTGTTCTTTTGGGGGGTAAATGAAACATCAGTTCCTCCATTTCATTTATAGCACACACTGTGAAGGTCTGTGGGCTATTTCTGAACTTAATTTGTTCAGATGTAGGATCTTAGAATGCAATTATTTTTATTTATTTGTTTGTTTATATTAGTATTTTAACTTGTAATGCAGTTCTGGCAGCTTGCAAGGGACTAAATACAAACAATCAAGCAGTTAAAAGACAGTGAAGAAAACAGCCATGGTGGGAATCGGAAAAACACAACATTCAAAGAAACAAGGTAATCTCAGTGGTGGATTCACACAGGGTCCTGTCCTGGAGGAAGAGTCAGGATTTTAAAGGTTTCCTAAAAAACAGCAGAACTGGGGTTATACCTGAGGGAACTGCTGTCCCAATAGGCAGCTGTGGGGCAGAGAAAGTCAACAGTTATTGTTTACACTTTTTTGATGGAAGAATAACCAGAAGGATAAGCCTTCCTCCCTCCCTCCCTCCCTCTCTCAGTATATGGATTCTGATCACAGGGTGCTTTATGTCCTATGTCACACATAGTTTGGCCTTTTTTCAATATACTACTGGAAAATTGGGGTTTTTATTTGCTTTGTGGTATGTCAAATTAGTACACTTTCTGCCAAAAAAAGGGGGGAAGGAAGTGTGCTTGTATTTCTTGTTGTAGTTCCCATCATTGTAATTTGTGGGACTGCAGAAAGAAAATTGGGGTGGGGGTGTCAATAAGCTTATGGGTGCCCATCTTTACCTTAGAGAGGATGATTAATCATAATAGTATACAAAAACCAGTTTCAAATTTTGATTTCAGTGGAATAGTCAATACTATCTAACTATAATCTCAATGAAACTGAAAGACAATTAGCCACCTAGTAATACAAGAAGTAACTTTTGTTTGGAAACACGGTAAAGTTTTGTGTACTAAATATATTCAGTTCTTGCCCCAAAGTCACAGACGGTAACATGGTGCCTGAATTGTGTACATTTCTTTCAGTTGTATGTCTTTATATTTACTAATGCCCCCCAAATATTTCTTCTTCCAGATAATGAGAACTTCTTAACAAGTACGGTGTCAACTTTCTTGGTCCCATGGGATTTGCTTTAGTTTCAGTAAGGGTGGTCTCCAACATTGGATACTCATTTTGCTTCAAGCTTGGAAAAGAGGGGGAGGGGTTAAATAGTTAACATGCATCAAATATTCAAGGTTATGTTAAAAACAAAGCAAGCATTGGCTTAGGACTTCTGAAATCTCATCAGATAAACTAGAATCCACTGTACTATATGATGGTGGATCCATTATTTGTTTTGTTTTGTTTTGTTTTGTTTTGTTTTGTTTTGTTTTGTTTTGTTTTGTTTTGTTTTGTTTTGTTTTGTTTTGTTTTGTTTTGTTATTGTATTTGTCACCCATCTCCTTTTGGGGCAACTCTTAAACATGGATCCAACAAACTGGAATCTAATTAAGATTTGCAAACGTTCCATATACTGTACATATATAATAAAGTGACAATACAGATGGTTTGGAGTAAATGGTAAGAAACTGGCAGTGATGAAATACTGTGAAAGTCTTGTGAGTTTTAACTAACAAGACTTACTCTATTTCTGCCATCTCTCTGAATATCAGGTAAATCCTCTTCTGGGCTGTAGGCTATCAAATCCCAAGAGTTTGTTGGATCTTCCAAGTAAGGACCCATTAAGATCTCAAACCTGATAGTGATACAAATAGGTAATGCTCACAGACCAATGCTATGAGTTGGCATAAGACACATTCTTATGCAACTCTTCCAGGCACTAAATTGACGGGCAGTACAGTGCTGTGTGAAAACTGGGCACCTTAAATAGATATCAGTTTCATTTTTTAAAAATTCAAAATTAGAGAGAAAAAGTCTCATGTCATAATATATGGCTTCCTTTTTTTTTTTTAATGATGAGTTTAAATGTAATTGAATATGACCAGTGTAAAAACATTTGGGCAAGTCTAAGCCTAAGGAACAGGTATTGGCAGATAGTGCATTTGAACAAGAGTGAACATCTCACAGAGGATATAAAAAGTCCCCATCTTTCTCTCCCTTTTTATTTATGAGTTATGAGCTGAATCCAGTTCCTAAGCACAGAAATCCCCCTTGCTCACAGGTGGACTGCAACTACAGTTATTACCAGTGGCAACTGCATTCTTGCAGTTAAAAAAAAAAATCACAGGGACCCTTTCCTTAAATGTGATTGCTTCACCTCCATGATCTTCTGTCCCCCCAACCCCCCGGGCAATGAATTTACAGGCTGAAAAGTTGTCACAATGTTCTTTTTTACCTTGTAACGGGAACAGCAAATTGATCCAGCTATATTTAGTGTGATCCCACAGTGTGGCATTTCTTTAGGATTTTGGAGATTTGGGATGTGAAATTCATTTTCATTGCTTTAATTCACTAATCTGAGACTAAAAGCCTGTATTGGACATGCTGTACTAAAAGGAATTGTGCCTTAGGCTCCCAAGAGAATTCAGCCATATGTGAACTGGGCTGCAGCCAGCAAAATTTGAAAGCAAAGATAGAGGAACATCCTTAGCCTGCTCCTCTTGGAGGCTGAAGTATTAATATCAATCTATACGATACAATAATATTGTAAGGTATAATATTGTGTATTATTAATACCAAATCTATACAATGAGAACCAAGTTTGGTCAAGTTTGGACTAGAAGCCAGGAGACTGTGAATTCTAGTCTTGCTTTTGGCCCAAAGCCAGTTGGGTGATCTTGGGCCAGTTACTCTTTTTCATCCATAAGAAGGAGGCAATGGTAAACTAATTGCGAAAAGTTGCCAAAAAAAAACCTCAGGGCAGTTGCCAGGATTCAAATACTGCCTTGAAAATAACACCAACAGTAATAAAAATACAGTACGCAAGAGACATGGTACTTTTTTTTCACAATCCAAACAGGATGGAAAGACAAAGATAAAGAGCTATCCATCTGACCATGTTGACTCAAACTCCAAGAGCTGAACATTGTGTGGCCTGAGCCTTGTGGGAGAGAAATAACATAAAATCAAAACACTTAAGTCCAACCATCATATTTCTTGAACAATTCCTCCTCCTCCTCCATATATTTATTTTTAAAGCATAGGCTTAGCTCTGTGATTCTGAGTGGTTGACATGAAACATCTGGAAACACAAGTATTTGTCTGCTGATTTATGTACCTTTAGCAAACTCTTCGTGTTCTTCTTTGGCTGGAAGATGAGTCCTACTAATCTCTTTTTTCTTCTTCTGAAGTATTGCTGCGGTTTTCAAAACAATCTGAGTTTCAGGTGCATTCTTGAGGTTGGGCAAACATCTGGAATGCCCACTTACCATATCCCTCATCAGGCACCTGAGGATCACAATTTCCACTCTTGTATGGCAAAAGGGAAAAGTTTGGTGCCTTCACTGACAATACACCTCCTAGCCCCGGGGATCCTGCAGCTATGCTGAATATCTCACTGGACTGGCCAAATTGATTGTCAAAATCAGGTCTGAGGGACAGATTTTCCTGGAAGGGACCTCCTGAAGGAATAGCCTTAAGTAATATCAGTCATTATTTTAGCCAGTTGTCAGCCCCTTCTTCTTTCATTTCCTCTTTTAATTTTTCAGTGCTGTGAAGGTAAGTTAGCTTAGTGACATGGAATTGTATTTCAGGATTGACATAATGAGGTTTTTGCTTTCTTCACAGCAGTGCTGTCAAATATATCCCTTACCAGCTTTGCTAGACTTAGCTCATTCTTCCAGGATCATAGCCATTAATCCAATCCAATTGATGGGTGAGAGAGTATTGGGGCATCTCCAAAAATGGAAAATTCACATGAATTTTTTGGGGGTGGGGGCTTTAAGACTTAAACTCAGCTTTGGACTTGGCTGCCTTCCTACCCAGAGATTGTGAGATCTTATACTACTAGTCTCTATGTGTAAGACACTTGTTATCACACTGATAACATGTTTACTAGGATGTGTGACTAACCTTCCCAGTTGTTTGGTTCTTTGTACTGTGTTCTGCTAAATTTGGAACTGATATAAATTGTGGCTGTTTATAACTCTTCTCTGACTTGATGACTTCTCCCTCTCTGTCCTTCCCAATTCATGATGTGGGTGCAAATTTGGAGGTCTTCCAGATATAATTTGGTGGTACTATGAACTGATAAATAGGAAACTCATGTGGCCCTGCTATTTGCAGTTGTTATTATCTAACTTTGTGGATTATGATTTAATGTGGAGTATTGGTGATAAATAAGGGTTAGGTTTCAGGGATGATTTCACAGGGATGATCTACCAAGGACGAGTGCTTGCTGGGAATGTGGAAGGAATTTGTCAAACAATATTCTGTAAGACAGAGCATCTGTTGAATGGTCCTTGGTGCTCTCTGAGCTTGGTTGTTTTCTTGAAGATCTCTTACCCAAACTAGGTAACATCATCAGTGCTGATTTTGAACATTTTATTACATTTACATTTTATTTATATAACAATATTTTATACATAATAGCTTCTATATTAAGCAATATCAGGCCAATTAAATTTTCTATGCACCCTGTTGTTTTCCAGATGTTCTGACCTATCATTCCCGGCATTCCTCATTATTGGCCATGCTTTGCTAGAACTTCAGATGCAATCTGGGTCTTCTAGATTGCAGTTGAAATAAATACTATAAGTAAATAAATGCATAATTGTGGTTCAGTAATATTAAGAGAACCACAGGTTCCCATCTCTCCTATGAAACACATAGCATATCCCTAAACGTATGGGGACTTGTGGCCAAGGATCTGCAACCAGCTACAGGTTACCAGAATAAATATTTAATAATATTTCCCATGAAATATATATGTGTACATGAGGAAAATAAATGTATATGACATAGAAAGTATACTTTTAAGCTTACATCTCTGAGTACTTCTGCTGATTTTTGTTTCATTTTCATCTGGTCGTCTTGTTCATTTATATTCACTTACATGACTTATTAACTCACTGATCATTGCTGGATTGCATCTAGACTTAGTCATACATAGAATAAACCCTCTGAAAAAAGTGGGTTTTAAATGAGCTATAATGAAATTAAAGCTATGTAATTAAGACATTATTATTTTACCTTTAACAGCAATTCATCAGCTAGCTTATGATGAAAGCAGATTCAATAAAAGCATACTGGTAATTATAAAACAAATTGATAGAAGCAGTGAGGGCTAGAAAATAAAACACCATCTTCCTAAACTCTGATATAGAGTGCTACAGCAGGTACTGAGTTACTAACTCAGCAGAGAGCAAAACAACCATTCAGATAACGGGATGGAAGCATAAAGGGGCATTTTTCATTCTGTAATCTGTACCTTTCTATTACTTCTACTATTGCCCTAAAATGATTCCTTGGCAGTGAAGTCCATTGACTTCAGCAGGATTGACTTCTACTTAAGGGGATTCAGATTGACATATCAGACACTTGGCATTAATTAGAAGTAAAGTGTGCTCTCTAAAAGTGGAATGCAAATGATTATTCTTTATGGTGTTGCAAAGCTCTGTAGTTTTTCTTCTACCAGTTTAAATTAACCAGTTTAACTTAAAATCCAGCTCTCTGGATTCTTTTTTAAATAAAAGGTTATTGAAATAAGTAATTCATAATTGAATGATAGAGCATTAGATCAAATAAAACATGCCTGGATATCCATTTTGATTTAACTCAGAATGATTTAAACCTGGCTATATTGGTGATTCCTTTTAAGCCCCAAATTGTATAAAGTCATTTATAATTGGTTTGGCTAATTTCAAATTAAATTTAAGGCTGTTTTATTTGTCTCTTGTTAGTGCTTTCAACATTATAACTCTAAAGGAAAACTTATGTCTCAAAACAATTATATTTGAATCAATCTTTATTTTTGATAGCTGGAGTAATATAAGAGTGAAACAGGCATGAAATAATTAAAAGTCAGTCCAAATATTATTTTAAATGTTTTAAATGTTTATTAGTACGATTTTGACCATAAAAGTACCATTCTGACCTCTAAAATGGTATATATTTAAGCACTGGATAAATTTCTCTAAAAAGTCTATGGCTCAGATTCAAAAATTGAGGTATTTGAAACTGTTGTTTTGTGGATTTAAAATCACAAAGAAAAAATGGTATTCTTGATTTCAAAGCTTGGTATTTATGTATTTGGTAATTTTTAATGGAATATGTTTAAAAGCAGCTGGCTGTTAAGACATTGATCATGAAATAATACTAAAGGGCAATATTCTTACCATAAAATTCTAGTTTTTCTTTACTTAACCCTCCTCTTTTCAAATAGCTAAGGAGTCTAAGGCTGAATATTAAAGGTTTCCTCTTGCCTCTTTTATTTTCTCTCCATATTACTGATACAACAATATATTTCCTTGAATTTTGCAAAGCCCTGTTTGATTTCATTGGAACAAAATATCCATTAATATCTTTAGGATTATCCAGTTAAATATCTCTGATATTTTCTAAGTATAGATAAGGAATGGAAAGCTATTTCTACTGAAACCTAACAAAAATCATAATAAAAATATCAAGCATATTGAAACTAATACTTCAGCATGCCCGTGTGAAAGAATAATTAAAAATACAGTTGGATCATGAAAGAATGGACATGATGTGCAACTTGCTAGCTTTGACAAACTGGAAAAAAGGGGTTTTCTTACTCCAGCTTTGTATTATATATCTCATCTCCTTAGAATTCTCTAACATATGAGCTACTCAAAATTTATAGAACAATACCAGATTAATCAAAACATTTGCAACAATTTATAAAATTATAAGAGTTTGGGAAGAAAAAAGGACACGAGAAAAGCATCAGATGGAAATGTTCTTATTTAATTATTTGGCTGAATACAAACTGGCACTCTATAAAAGAACTATATAAGTAATTTAAAAGGCAGAAGAATTATTAAGCTACAGCCCTTCTTTTATTCTAATTGTTCTGGAAATCCTTATGTATCTGTCAATATATACTTAGAAATACAAAACTTTGATATTATTAAGCAGCTTGCACCAAAAGTATTTACAATGGCAAGCACATATGCGCCCACACACAAATCCTAGATATATATTCCAATCGAGCAAACATCTAATAAAATATGTACTGTGCAATGCAAAAACGATTCCAAAGATCTGAAGACAGCCCTGACGACAGTCTGCATTACTGTTAAGTTCACCAAGGCACATCTGCAAAACAGACGAGAGACATATCAGTAAATCTTCTCTAGCAAGCAAAAGGTAAACGGTTTTCATTTGCCCCAAATAATGTGTGAAAACTTATTGGGGTGGGGTGGGGGTTAGAGAAAGTTGCCAATGATGGATTTTACAGACATGTTAAGTCTGTAAAAGGGTACAGAATTGACTTTCCCTATGTCCATTGAATAGATGGATATTTGGAGTCATACAAAACACCACTGATTTTAGAGGCAGCTCTATGAAAATCTAAGACGGGGACGCAAAACTGTGTTGAAGTTAGTATATTTAAGGCCACAGGCTTATATTGTAGCAGTAATAGTCTGTTAAATGCGATGCATGCTTTTTAATTTTTTTCCCTCTTTTATAGCAATGATTTAGAAACAGTTTTGGATTACACAGCAATTAGAGGCCTTGAGGACTAGGCTTTTAATGTAACAATTTCAATTCTATAGTACATTCTCCCTCACAAGATCTACAATAAGATCTTGATATCTTACAGAATAGATATATAGAGCAGTATAAACTTAAGGAGATGGATTTAGGATTCTTAGATAGTAATTTCTTTACAGAGGTCAAAATCAAAACTAGATTATTCATCATAATCAGTTACGGTACAAATAATACTCTTCTCTTCACTGAGTAAGGTAAATGCACAAAGAAAAATACACATATCTCTCCCTCCTTTCCCAGCGTCTGTCCATATTACTGACACAACAATATATTTACTTGAATTTTGAAAAGCCCTCTTTGATTTCATTGGCACAAATTATCCATTAATATGTTTAGGATTAACCAGTTAAAGCAAAATAAAACTGAGGACTAAAAAGTGCACCAGAACACTAATTTTCACCTACAGAATTTTACGCTCTGGTGCACTGCCAAGGAATACTAATGAGGATTCATTACAATTAGTATATTTAAGAGATTAACTATGTAATGAATTATGAGATCTGCCATCCAAGTAGTGACCCTTTCCTGAAGTTGTATAACTGCTTTTCAGATATCATCTGAACACATGTTTTCTCTGAGAGTTATCAATGTGATAAACCAAGATTTATAAAAATGCTGCATGCTGTTGTTGAGGTTCATACATTAAGGCATTTGAATTAGTCACAGAAATACAAAATTACCTTAAAGAGTAGCTCCAAAAGATCAGCCCCAAAGATCTGGCAGAGAAGTAAGATGTTGGGATTATTTTAAGACTGATGCCTTTTTAAACTATATTAAGAACACCCTTCACAGATCCTGATTCTGGCCTGTTTCTTACACAGGAGGTATTTTATCTTCACAACATCTGGATCTGTCAAAGAGGTGCGGTTGTAGACCTTACCAGATGTAGACACTCCATCAATAAAAGAATAACTAACAAATCATACCATAAAGAGAAGTACTACAACACAAATGCTGTATATCCATAAAAAACCAAACTCTGTTTTAAGGCTGAGAGAAAAAATTGGGAGGGGGGGGTGTATAGAAATACCTTAAATTTTCTAGACAGTTTAAAACATAAATTAACACTTCCCCCACTCCCGATCCCTTTCCAGATTTTTTTCAGAAGTGACAATTAACAAATTAGTTTTGTTCCCCCCTCCCCCCCAATGAAGACCTTCTTGTACTATAAAGATACACTGTTGACCTTGGTATATCGCCTTGAAAGGCTCACCTGTTTCATTCACTATGGCTTGTTCAGATTTGTTGTTCCTGTTGTCCATTCTTCTGAAATGAAAGCAGGAAGAGATTAATATGGAAAGCACATCTGAAGGAGGTTTTGCATAATTTTGAAACATCCTGCTCAGCTCTTATCAAACCTTTTAAATGTGGCATTATGTACACCTTACTGAACCTGAGCTGCAATCTATTAGGCATAGTTTAGCATCCATAGATCATCTTGTAAACAGTGCTTAAGTAACCATGGCCAGTGTGAAAAGATTCTATTAACAGCAAGTTACCCACTCTATCCAGTTGCTAATGCTTGTCATTATGGTTCTTTTTCTTTATTACCAAATTAGCAGTATAGAATGGAACAATTTTGTTCAAGAGTTTAACATGCCCCCTAAACTCTTATCCCAATCCCCTTACACCTATATATATATAAAAGAGAGAGAGGGGAGGGAGAGATATTCTGAAATTGGAACTTTACGTACAAGAGGCCCAAAGAGTTCTTATCTGTCTACATTGCTTGGTGTGAAACCATAGCTTGATTCTTGCAAAAGATTTTGTTTGCCAGATCTCAGACAAAGAGCACTGAGCCAGCACCCTCCTTACAACCAGTCTGCAGTTCAGTACACATAGCCCCTCCTTATTAGACTGTTCTCTCTCTCTCCTCAAAGTGGACTTAAAATTAATTTATTTCAAACTCGGTGCCATTCCATGGAACATTAGAATATTGTCATCTGTGTAATTTTGGTCAGAAGTAGAGAGAGCAGGAAGGCTGGTAAACAGGTCAAGAGCTTAGCCATCTGGCTTTTCCATGAGCTAAACTTAATTTTTGACACTCTTCTTTTTAACTAAATCTAAAGCAAAGTGACTCACAAATTATTCTTCCAGGAGGGATTCCCCCTCCCTTTTTTCTTTTTCTTTTTTTTTTTCCAGAGTTGCCCTAGTGCATAAGGGGAACTGCACTGCTTCCACCACCCTGTGGTAATTCTATGCCATGACATACCTTCCATTTTCAGTGGTCTCCTACCTGCAAGCCGCAGACTTTTACAGCTCATTTGTAGCTGTTGCCAACTCATGCATTCGTATTTATTTCAAGAAAGGTGCAAACATGGGGAGATTGAAAACAGGGACATCTGTCATAGAGGAGAACTCTGTTCAATATTTGGAATAATTTGAACTCATTCTACCATCTAGATTTAGAAACATTTAAAAAAAATATGTCTAACTATAGATTTTTAAATATTTGCTTGGGGTTTCTTTTACTTTTTTTGTAAAGAGCAGATGTTTGTCAAATTAAAGTCAAAGGGTGACTTTAAAAGGAACCCTAGAAAAGCGAGAGAGAACTTGTTTAGACAACATGCCATTTGCATTGTTCTGTTGTAGAGAGAAGGAAATTCCCTCAAACTGTTGTGATCCCCTCAAATGGAGCATAACATTATGGTCATTTTCTCACTGCTGGCACATTTTTTCCAGCTACTCATTATATGTAGCAGATGGTGTCCAAACAAATCAACAAGCAGAGTTGTAAAGATGGAGTTGCAGAGGGGCAGAGGTAAAGGGTTATTTGTGTGGAGCAGAGTGAGGGGGAGGCCTGCGAAGAAATTCATATATTTCTTCAGACGGTCGGAAGCGTTGCAGATGGAAAATGTAGCCTGTGATACAACAGTCCACTAATTTGGGAAATTGGTCAACAGAAATAGCTGTTGTGTATGATCTATAAATGTTCTTAATTTCTCTATTTTATGGAATTAGAGGCATTGTAATTAAAGCTAAACCCACGCCAATCATTTGCTTATACTCATTGGGGATTTTGGGAAACAGTGTGCCACTTTTCTCATGTCCAACTTGCAAGTAAAAACTTTTCCAGGCAGACCAAGAAATGTATTTGCAGCTTTAATCTTCCAACATTTGGACCACCAACCTGTCATGCTTTTGCATTTTGCCCACATGTTCCTAGCAGGGTGGGAAGAGCAGGGTTTTTTTTTTTATCTGACACCTGCAGTAAAATTAATCCTGACTTAAGCTTGACAAAATGACTGCAAGAAAAAAAAAGCTAGTTGAAAAGTATTCTATACCAAACAGCTGGGTTAATAAGCACTGGCCAAGAAAAAAACTTTAAAGTGCTTTTAAAAATGGATTTCAAGAATATACTTGATTATGCTTCTAGAAACCTATAATTAGCACAGTTTATTTGGAAAAGTTATATCCTAATATATCAAGGAGTCTAATTTTTTTTAAAATTTCCCAGAACCAGCTTTTTAGGACAGGTTACAGCCTGAAAGTAAATATTTCTGTCAAAAATTTATGGGCTGCCCCATTGGCAACTCATTGAGAAAATATGACTCCTCCATTCCATTGGATGTAACTACAAATATGCATAGGATTCTCTTGTTGTAGAGAAAATAGGAGGAGGAAGGAGCACTAGGTATGTTTGCTTCCTTGACTTATTTATAAAAGTAATAAAAATGGGGTATATAGAACAAATAATTATTAACAAGATTAACTGGGTTTACAAGTAGTAGAGTTGGTTTTAGAAAATAATTAGCGTTAGAAAGATGGGTGCAATGGTGATATGTGAGAAATATGATAATACCATGATACAAACAGAATCTGATTCATAAGGTTGTTTATGGAGATTCTCAATCATTCAGGTCATGGTTGTCCCAAAGGTGCTTTTTCAAAAGGCAACTGGACTTTTTTTGTTTTTCCTTGAACATGTTTCGCTTTTCATTCAAGAAGCTTCTTCTTCAGGATTTGTATGATTAGGAAAGAGAGATATTTAAGGTTGTTCCATTTTTATGGCATCTAGAGTCTATCATCTGCAGAAGTAGAGGTAGGTGAGATTGCTTTGCACCCATTTTGAAGAACTAAAGGAATAGTCTGCTCTCAAAAGCAAAATATGCTTTCCAATCTGGACTTGGACTATCGTTCTAACCCCCATTGATCATATTCTCATTCCAACGTTGCATTAACCAGGAGCAACACAGGGCATATAAAAACAGATCACTCCACAGTCAAGCAGTGGGAAACAAGGGTGTCCCACACAGACATGAAGGGCATAGTAAGGCTGCCAGGTTTGCTTTTCAATTTATTAAGCTTTAGTTTGTAAAAAGGCAGCATATTTTCAGTCTATCTGCTTGGATTCTACAGTGGAATTATTGAGTCTGACATCTGCACCTCTATAACTGTCTGGTTTGGCTCTGCAACCCAACAAGACAGACACAGACTTCAGAGGATAATTAGAACTGCAGAAAAAACAGTTGCTACCAACCTGCCTTCCATTGAGGACCTGTATACTGCACGAGTCAAAAAGAGGGCTGTGAAAATATTTACAGACCCGTCACATCCTGGACATAAACTGTTTCAACTCCTCCCCTCAAAATGACACTATAGAGCACTGCACACCAGAACAACTAGACACAAAAACAGTTTTTTCCCCGAACACCATCACTCTGCTAAACAAATAATTCCCTCAACACTGTCAAACTATTTACTAAGTCTGCACTACTATTAATCTTCTCATTATTCCCACCACCCATCTCCTTCCACTTATGACTGTATGACTGTAATTTTGTTACTTGTATCCTTATGTATCCTTATCAGGATATTGTTTCCTGATTGCTTATTTGTACCCTATGACTATCATTAAGTGTTGTACCCAGCGGTGGGTTGCCCCCGGTTCGCACCGGTTCTATAGAACTGCTAGTAAAACCGGCGGGAGGCTCCACTCACCGACCCCGACATCATCAGAACGCTTCTGCGCATGCAGAACCGGTAGTAACGGTAAGTAGAACCCACCCCTGGTTGTACCTTATGATTCTTGATGAACGTATCTTTTCTTTTATGTACACTGAGAGCGTATGCACCAAGACAAATTCCTTGTGTGTCCAATCACACTTGGCCAATAAAAAATTCTATTCTATTCTATTCTATTAAATATTATCCTTATAGCCCCAAGATTTCAGAACTCTCAACGAATAAATTGTTAGGATGTTTAATTTAGTAGCTGGAACAATAAAGTGTACAATAGGCCTGAACACACATTGTGATTGATTAGTTAGAGAGTACTGGCTCATGCATGAGGCAATCTATGCTATGGTTGGCTGCCACAAGTATAAAGGAGGCTTTTCCCTTTTTTCCCCGCCATTTTCTTCTGTGTATTCTGTATACTGTTTAATTTACCTCATGATATTCCTGTGTTCCTGACTATCTTGCATTCTTTCTTTATGTATAATGACAAAGACTGGTGTACATTTGAATATTAAATATCATCATCTTTATAGCCATTGTCTATCCACTTAAGGATGAAGGCCTCTTCTGCATGTTTCCAACCTATACAGTCCTGAGCTTTCTTCTGCCAATTGGGCTTGCAATACTTGTTAATATAATTGATCCATCTTGTTTTAGGTCTCTGTTGTGGATGCTTTTTATCAAGTGGGATCCATTCTATGACTGTCTTGGTCCACCTGCCGTCAGTTCTTCTTGCTATGTGACCAACCCAATTCTTTTACTCTCTTGATGTTATCATATACTTTCGTTTGTTCTCTAATCCATGTGCAGGTCTTTCTATCTTGTCTTGTAATGCTGAGCATGTATTTTTCCATGGCTCTTTGTGCCACTCGTAGCTTTTGAATTGATTGTGAGGTTAGTGTCCATGTTTCACCGGCATATGTTAGAGCAGATAGCACACACTGTTCGAAACTTTTTCTGTTCAGGCATAGGGGGAGGTGGTTCTTGAAAATTAAGCTTAGCTTGCTGAATGCCTGCCAAACATATTTAACATGCTGTTCAATTTCCTTTATTGTATCACCTTCCATTGAGATATGTTGGCCAAGGTTTAGTGGTCTCCTAAGGCTATAAGTTTGTGCTACTGTCTCTAACTTCATCTGAACAGCTGCTATGCAATTCCTTGACATAAATCATATACTATCTGAAACTATGTTCTGAAAAGAAGTTGTGAATGCTCCAAACACTGGACGTTTTTAAGAAGATGTTGGATAACCATTTGTCTGAAGTGGTGTAGGGTTTCCTGCCTAAGCAGGGGGTTGGACTAGAAGACCTCCAAGGTCACTTCCAACTCTGTTATTCTGTATTCTATTTATGTATATGTGTATCCAGTATGTACATGCAGTATGTACCTGTGCATGTACATACAATCATATAAATATAAATCCTCCCCCCACACCAATAGCAGAGAAGAACCAACTCCTTGTCACACAATCTTCAATCCAATATCTTTCCATTTCCCTTTATGCTTTGGCAGAGAACTGCTCCAACCATAAAGATACAAGTAATTGTGTGTGGGTGAGATATTTTTCCATAACTGTGCAACATATAGATTGTTCTTGTATTTTGCAAAATAATGACAAGCAAACTACATTTCGCATCAAAGTCTTTTTTTCCCTATAAAGTAAAAACAAGTACCTTTATTATTTTCAAGTCCTTTGAGTGTTTCCCATCTCCCACTCCCCATATGTAGCTCTCAAGATGAAATACTCAACACATAAATTTGACAAACTCCAAATTCCTTTGACATGGCCTCTCTATGAAAAGACTCTTCCTAAAACAAAAAAGAAAAAAAAAGAAAAAAAATCTCACAAGATGTATCAAATGTTAAATTTTAATACAGGTGTGCTTCACCTGTAGCTTCAAGCCAGCACCCCCCACTCAAAGCTTTGGATATATTCTTAGGAACACTCCCCCCCCCCTCAAAAAGCATTAAATTTTCAAGCTTAAAGAGACAGAAGAAAGAAAATTTTAAAATACACATCAATTTGGGTTTATTAATGAGGTGGACATTAAACTAAATTAAACCTAGTTTTAATTGGTTTTTGGAAAGTAGCCCTTGATAAGTCATATCAAGGGCAAACACGTTTTTCAACTCAACAGTAGCACACTCTTGCTTCAATGCAATATCTTGCTTTGGAAATGAATGGAGTAAGTTCTGTCATAGAGACAATAGCCAGTATTCTTCCCCAATACTAAAAGATTAAAAAAAAAAAATCTTCAGAGGATCTAAGCGTAAAAACTGGATCTTGATGGGCTAATTTGAAACAGAAGGGTGCCTGCATATGTGTGTATGTATGTATGTGTGCCTGTTTATGCATATTTGCT